CATATATTTCAGTTTTAACTGTGCTTCATTAACGATGTTGACATAATACTTCTTCCTTTCCTATTGCTGTTATTAAATAATTAATATTTTTCTTTGTTTTTGACCAAAACTCTCTTCTGCTCTTCCCTGATTATTTATCTTCATAGATTTATAGTTATGGTTTTATTTCCTATCTTAAGATTCTCTGATTCTTTGACAATGAAGCACTGGAGTCCAATCTTGATTATTGACATCTAATCTCTTAAGGGTGTTTACTCATCTGTAATATGAGAATGTTTGACTCACTTGTGATGAGAATTAAATGTAATGATACTTATAAAAATAATCTGCAGAATATGAAAAAACTAACAAGTATAAAAAATAAAAGTAACAGCAAATAACATTTTTTTAAATATATATATATATATTTTTTAAATATTTTATTTTCTAGTTTTCGGCGGACACAACATCTTTGTTTGTATGTGGTGCTGAGGATCGAACCCGGGCCGCACGCATGCCAGGCGAGCGTGCTACCGCCTGAGCCACATCCCCAGCCCCAGCAAATAACATTTTTGAGCCTTCATTGTATGCCAGAGACTGCTAAGCCTTTCACGAGCATTATCTACTTTAATCCTTAAAACATTCCTAAGAGGAAGGTGTTATGATCCTTATGAATAAATGGAACCTAAGAGAAGTTAAATAACTTTCCCACAGTTATGCAGACAGATGGAGCAAACTTGGAGATTGAATGCAGAGCCTATCCTCTTGCCACTCTCATCACTGCTGCCTCCTATTATAAATACTGAGTAGAGTTGTCTGTACATTTGCAGTCAGCTTTGTTGATTCTTGGCATTGTCATTTCTCTGTTTTTTTTTTTTAATCATCTATTTCACATTTTTTAGGTATATGCATAAAATATGAGTATATTTAAGCAGATGACAGACTCCAAGATTAGTTGAGGCGGTGATTCAGTCATGTCACTGAGATTTGAGAAACCTGCTGTTCTGCTGCCCTTAGTGTAAAATAGATTTCCTTCATAATTGCAAAATGGCTTTAGCAATTCCTAGTGTTGAATCTAAACACAATGATACTCAGAGGCAGGCAGAAAGACACCATTTCTTCTGGGTTCTCCTCCTTTTTTTTTTTTTAAGTATGTATTTTTTAGTTTTATGTAGACACAATGCCTTTATTTTATTTTTATGTGGTGCTAGGATCAAACCCAGTGCCTCACACATGCTAGGCAAGCACTCCACCACTGAGCCACAACTCCAGCCCCTGGGTTCTCCTTCTTAAAAGTGTGGAGATGTTTCCCAAAAAGGCTCTATTTGATTTTTCCTTAGACAGCACTGGTCAAAACAGGGTCACTCAATAAAGAATAAGGGGAAAGTGACAGGGTTGGCTTGGGATAGTTGATCTCACCCATTAAAGGTAAAGTGCCAGGCTGTATGAGATTCTTCTTGTGAAAAGGGCCTAGAGTGATTGTCAGGTCACTGGCCAACAATGTCTACTAACAATGTGTCTGCATTTCTATGCATGATTAGTCCTGGACTTTAATTGTATGATTTGGACAAAATGACTTGACATCTCTGTGTTAGAATTTCACTGTCTTGAATATAAATTGTCTTTTTCCTGTATGTCTAATTTCTGATTTAGGTCTCAGCACTTTTTCCAACTTTAATAGTTGTAGTTAAGTTTGGTAAAAGAATTTTAAGGTCTTCAGAAAAAAATCACTGAAGAATAATTCAGTCTGAGGGGTGATTATAAGGGTTATGTGTGATTATAAGGGTTATGAGCCTGAAGGAGTTATGTGTATGTGGGGGTGGGGGCGGGGGTGGGGGGTAAGCCAGGTGCTGTGATGCATGCCTGTAATTCCAGCAACCTGGGAGACTGAGGCAGGAAGACTTTGAATTTGAGACCAGCCTGGGAAATTTAGCAAGATTTTGTCTCAAAAGTAAAAATAAAAAGGACTGGGGACATAGATCAATAGTAGTGCACCCCTGGGTCCAGTCCTCAGGACCACCAAAACAAACAAACAAACAAACAAACAAATAAACAAAAACAAGAAAAAAAAAAAACCCCAAACAACAACAACAAAAAACTAACAAGATGAGTTGATGTTTCAGATCTCAGCATAAAGGTCTTTGGTAGGAGCACAGGGCCTCCTCACTGTTCAACTTAATGCCAAAGCTCAGTTTCAGGATCTGCCGTTTCCTTTCCTCCCATACTTGACCTTCCAGTGGACATGGCATAAACATGATGACAGATGAGAGTGCTGAACCTGTGGGGGTCTCGCCATGCCCATGGGTGTCTCTTTAATGCCAGTCAATATGATCAGGCCCATTCTTGCTCTTTCTGAGGGCAAGGTGTATTTCTTAATAGCTCTTGTCCTGGAGTCCTCACTAGACATTAGAACTTGCTCTTTCACTATAACAGATTTTGTTTGCAAGAATAACAATTTAGTGTACTATAAGTAAAATATTACTGAATCAGGTGAATTTTAAATATTGATTATAGAATGGGAAGATCTGGAGTACTATAGATTTACATTTTTCAGTACCAGCAATTTAAGCATTTTATTGTTTAGGATATAAACTTTTTATATGCCATGTTTATCCCATTAAAAAATTATTTTTAAGCTAACTATGTTGAGCAGGGTTTAAGTGTCAGGCTTATGAGGAGTATAGGATCTTAGCCATATTACCATGGCATATAACTACTCTAGTTTTGAGACATTTTATACTTTTTTGCTTTACTTGATAGATATCATTGTGTTACATGTCTTTTCTGGAAGTAATTTTATTTTTTCATTTGTAGTGCTAGGGATCAAACTCAGGGCCTTGTGCATGTTAGGCAAACACTCTACCACTGAGCAATATACCCAGCCTCATTGATATAATTTCTTGATACAAATAATCCCTCTTTACCTACTGCTTTGATGATGGGCAGGGAAACACCCAACAAACTGAAGTTCTTCAGGGCTGGAGTGAGGGATGCAGATGCTTAGTCTGACTTTTCTGTGTCACATTTTGTTCTTTTTTTCTTAGCTCTGTCCTTAATATGTGAGTTTGGAATTGATTCTTGTTATAGTTAAGTAGTTCATAGTCACCATTATAATGAGGGATTTAGTTAATATCAGGCAATTCTGTAGGGTTTTTTTGTTTGTTAGGATTATTTAGCTTTCTGAGTCAATGAATATATAGAATATCTGCACATAAAAGCAAGGTTGACCAAATGTGGTCTGCATGCTGCCATGGACTTACTTCTTCCCTTATAACTGGTGACAGATCATATTTAGATAAAGCCAATTGATCCTTCATGCAGTAGTCTAGAGAGACTCTCCCTGACAGTAAAGGTAGAACTACTGAGTAAAGGCCCTTAAACTTGTAAAAATGCAGAGTACTAGTCAGATGGTGACCACTAACTAGAGAAGATGACCAGCAAGCTAATGAATGCCACATACATGCTTCAAGAAGGTTCTGACTGTAATGTTTGAACTTTTGAAGCTATTAGTAAGGAAAAGTATAAGATTAAATTTAGTCTCAGTTTCTAAACTGAGGTGATATGAGCCCTCCTAAAATCTCACTGGTCTTCTTTGGTTACCACAGTTTTAGCAAGCCTTTCCTTCCCCTCTAATAAAAAATAACAATGATTCTTCATAGGGAAGAAAGTTAGTTTAACAGGCTGTAGAGTGAGATTCTCACATAGCACATGGTCCATTCTAGAGGAATGTGGTATGGTATCTCACTAGGCAGATTTGCAAAGGAAATCCTTGAGACCTGTTTCTGCCGCTTGGACCTGTTGACCTTTTGGTGAGAGTCCTGACAGGGAGGACTTGTGGAAAGTTTCCTTGGGAAGAGCTGTGCTAGTCTTTGAAGGGGTAGAATGAGGACATGTGACCTTCTCCAATTAGGCCTGTTGAGTGGGACTTCCCTGGGGCCCTCTGGTGACAGTGCTTGCTTAAGGTAGAGGTGGCTTTTTGGGAGTAGTTGTTCCCTGTAACTAAAAGAAAACCTCATAGAAAAGAATGGACTCCAAGAAGTTGTGCCTAGTGGTCAGGCATCTAAACGTTGTGGGGTTCCAACAGGGAGATATGTACAATAAGATGTGTGCAAAAGATAGAGGACAATTTGAGACTGAGGAAAGGCAGTAGGAAGCAAATGGATCTGAGAGCTAAAGGGTGGGGGCAATTTTCTTACTGAATAAACTGAAGATTCTGGGCTATAAGATAATATTCTTATACCTTACAGGTTGGACTTTTTCAGTGTATCAGACTCAGGGACACATATCAGTTAGATGGGACAGTAAATCAGAGGAACAGAGTAAAAATGAACATGGTGTGTGCAGGAGAGCATAATCCCTTAGAGGCTACTGAAGCTTTGGGTTTGAGGATTAGAATGGCAGAAATGACTCCCAAGATATTTAACGTGGAACATGGACTTCATCCTCCAAATCGGGAGGTAGGACAGCAGCAAAGCCTGTCTGTGAGGTTGTGAGCCTTCAGGGGTGGGTGGCAGAGTCTGGCGATGGTATGTTTGCCCTCAGACACAGCTGGTGTCTCAGCATGAAGCCTGACCTGTAATAGCTATTTAATTAGTGTTTGAATGAATATGTAAATGAATTGATCCAGAAATCATCTTAAAAATGTAGGCAAGATAGGGAAATGCAGATAATATTTAACCTGTTGTTATTACAAGATTTTCTTAAAGGTTATTCTAGACATGGAAGTGGAATTCAATCTTATGTTTTAAGGACTCTTAAATCTTATATTCTTCAATTGATGTAATTTCTGTATTTCAACTCTTTTCCTATCTTTTATACATAGGGGTACATGATTTTTACATAGAAAATCATCTGTGATATAGGAAATTAATAAAGTTTATACAAAGATGTTCTTGATAACATTCCATATAATTGTGATTGTTTATATTCATATTTATTATACTAGGTAGACACTTAATGATTCTTGTCACATTTTGGTAGCAGTACCAGTTGTAATATATTTTAAATCTTTTTCTCCTTAGAAGTAAATTTCCTCAGAAGGACTTAGAAATGCTGTTCCATGGAATGAGTGCTGATTTTACAAGTGAGAATTTTTCAGCTGCCTGGTACCTTATAGAGAACCACTCAACTACCAGGTTAGTGGATTTCAGACTGAACTCTTGAGAGCTTCTGCTCAGATGCTAATGATGTGAATTTGAGTACCATAACTTGAGTTTTAGGTTTGCCTCTGCATATGGTAACAGTTTTAGGTATATGAGTTCTTTGACTTGGGTAAATCTATGAACATCTCAGGGTATCAACTTCCTTATTTGTAAAATGAGATTATTAGAGGTCTTTTATTCTTTACTATAATTTTGTATTACTACATGTTTCATTATTTGTGCAACTCATTAAAATTTTGTAGAGTTTTTAGCTGGGGACCTAAGCTGATGTATGTGCATGTGATATATTGCCCTACTCAAATTTTGATGAATTTTAAGTTCTGGTGTGAAATACAGAACACACTGCTTTTCCTGACCATAGAGCAAAGGAAGATGAGTTAGATTATAATTATGTAAATACTTGACTTAAAATGAACCAAAAATTACTTGTATATCCAAGTTACAGTATTCTCTTTTGTGTGCTAATTGGTTTATCAGTTCTCTATAAGAGATTTATAACTTCTTTACAAGGTTGATTTAAAACATGTTTAGTGAAAACATATGGATGAATGAATGGTTTATTGCTTAAAATTTATATTCTTGGTAAGTCAACTTGTTAAAATATACCTTAATATAAATTTTTCTTTTTAGGATGAAAACCATTACTAGAAAACATGAGGAAAAGTTAGTATTTTAACACACAAGTATTTTAATACAAAAGTTAGTATTTTAATACATTTGGCTTGATAAATTTTTAAAGCAAATATCTGAAATAATTCTTCCATTGTAGAAAATGATTCTAATTTTATTTAATTACAGCCATGCTTTTTCTATTATAACTGAGAATTAGAATATGTTTTCTGTGTAGAGCATCATAGTATTGAAGAATATTTTTAAAATTTTACAGCTAGATTTTGTAGCTCAAATGGAAATCAGTTTTGGAAATGCAGAGACCTACCTTTTTGTTCCTTCCTTTTTAGATGATGTTATTTAAATTGTGAATTAACTCACAGGTTTTATGTAACTTTATTATTAAGAACTGTGTAGTATTGACATGGTAAGATTACCATTATGCTCAATGTTCCAAAGTATTTGAATGAATGTAGTAGTCCCACCTTGGAAATACTTGTCTTTCTGTCAGGTAGAAGATACTCAAACCCCAATATCTGGTAAATCATGTATATAATATATAGTTATAAAAATATCTACACGTGTATTTACTTCTTATGGATTGGATATATTTCAGATTATCATTTTAAGTCTACAAAACTCTTAATAGTTGTAATTTAAGCATCATTATAAATGAAAGGTTTAGATAACAATTTGAAAGCTTTTTGTTTTCATATGGTCTCATATTAATCTGTGTGCTTCTCAACATAAGTTTCAGCGTTCCTAGTATTTTACACTTAATGAATGATCTTATTTCTTTTTTGCTTGTGACTAGTCTCAAACGTTTGGTTTCTTAATTTCATTTCAGCTTTGAACAGCTCAAAACAGCAGTCACCACCCTCAAAAGGCAGGCCAACAAGAAGAGCGAGGGCAGTCTGGCATATGTGAAAGGGGGTCTCAGTACATTCTTTGAAGCACAGGATGCCCTCTCAGGTAAGGCGATCCATCTGTTGGGAGCTTCCACCATGGAAACCTGACACTGTGCTTGCAGAGTGTTTACAGGGTGTGACATTCAGTCTGTATTTATAAAAGTAGAGATCTAAAATGTACCATAAATATTTGTTGCAGACTAGGCTGGAATCTCTTTGAAGGCCTGGTACATTAAATATTTGTCTCTGAGCCTTTGTTGACCCATCTTACATGTGTGAAATGGGAGACTCCTTTACCTCTCTATGATGACTAATCTTTGGGGCTGATAAGAAATTAAATCCCAATGGGTAAAATTCTAGAATTCTTAAAGTCTTCTTGCAGCCATCAGTATCTTACACATGTGCCCAATCCTGTACATATGATAGAACCATTGTGTGTTCAATTTGGAAAAGACTTATGATAATGCATTGTTTTAGCCATCATACCACCAACCCCCAATGATCATACATCAAGTTAGATGTCCATTATCTGCCATCATCTTCATATGTGAGGAAAGTTGCATTAAGGAGAAATATGGGATTAAACATTTCAATGTAAGATGAAGGGCAGGTTCTTTTTAACTACCTTTATTTAATAAAAATTAATTATTGTCTATCGAGTGAAATATAAAGTATATTAATAAAAGTTAACCTGAATCTTTTTAAAAGTGAAGGTACTTATATCTAGGTACCTAAGTATCAGTAATTCTAATTGTATATTACAGGACTATACCTTCTTCAACAAAGATAAATTTTAAAATTGATTTGTTATCAAATTAATTTTATTATTTTTAAAACCCCTTCCTCATTAAATAAATATTTGATGCAGCCTCTTTCTTGCAGGTAGAGATTAGGATTTTGAAGGGCTAAAATGTGAATGCAGGTAGAGGTTAGGATTTTGAAGGGCTAAAAGTGAATAGGGCAACGAGGTGTACTTCTTGGATACATCCTGTGCCCTATTTCTTAAATGTTTTACCTTTCTTTTTTTGTGCCTGTTACTGCCTTTTCTTAGTTATCAGTTTTATGTTATCAAGTAAATGTAGTCATTTGCTCAGTTACTACATAAATGATTTCCATAAATTATTGTAATTAATTTAATTTCACTTAGCAAAGAAATGTTTTACTTTCTTTCACTCTTAAAAAACCTTTATACACATATTTCCTTATGGTTTTTCTTTTTATTAATGGTTTCATTCTTGGTAGATTAAAAGAAGTTTTATTTGGTGCATTAAATTTTCATAGTCTCATTTTTTAGAAATTTGCCTTAGAAATATGTTAGCAACTTAAAATTCAGCAAAGATAATGCTGACCAACTACTAATAAGCAAATAACTTTATGACATATAGAAAATAATTATAATAATAAATTTAAAAACTGTAGCTATATCCAGGTATATCTAGCTTTTTTACATTTTGATATAAAAGAAATATTTTATAGAAAACATTTAAACATATTAAATAGTAAGAACTACTTCCAATGTAAAGATAATAACACTTTGATGTTTTTCTTTTGAACTTTTTTACCTTAGCTTAAACAAGTATATATGACAAAATTGGGTATTGTTTGTAAAGTTGTATATACTAGAAATCTTTTTTGTTCTTCAGATCAAACCTGCCATTCCTCTGTGTGACTCTTTTCCATAGCATTTAATTTATTTGTAGCCTTTCATTACTTTTTCCAATGAAAGTTTTAGGTGAAATTGATCTGTAGTTTTTAAAAAGCTTTTTTGGTCACGTTTTAGGGTTATGTTATATATAATCATATGGATCTGTACATGTTGATGTATCTGTATTGGGCTAAGTGTGAACATGAAGAATTAATTGTTTGAAATTTGAGAGCTGATACATAAAAGTGCTCAGGTAATTTGTTTTGCTTTGATACTATGAAAATTTTAAAAAATGCTGAAAGTAGAGGTGATAATATAATCAACCCCTATGTACCTACACCTAGATTTTACAGTTATGAATTTTTTTTTCCATACTAGCTTTATCAGTTTTTGAGGTTGGTTTGTTTGCATTTGTTGATGTTTTTAAAAAGCAAATTTCAAGCAGTGTGATGTTTCTCTGCTATAAGCCTTAGTATGAATTCCCCCATATAAGGACATTTATATACATAAATACCACAATACCATTATAACAGCTAACAAAATTAGCAGTCTTGAATATTGACTCATTCTCAGTTCATATTCAGATGTCTCATTACCCCCAAAATTCCTTTGTATAGTTAATATGTTCAAATCAAGATACAAATAAAATTTAGGCATTTCATTTTATTTTAAATTTCCTAAGCCTTTTTTTTTTAAAATACATTTTATTTTGTTTATTTATTTTTATGTGGTGCTGAGGATTGAACCCAGGGCCTTGCCTGTGCGAGGCAAGTGCTCTACCTGTGAGCCACAGTCCCAGCCCCTTCCTAAATCCCTTTTTAAAACTGCAACAGTACCATCACCTTTCCTGCCTCTCCCCCCGCCTCGCCCCCCGCCCCATGCCATTGAATGTACAGGTCATTTTTCCTTTAGGATACCACACACTGAAGTGGACCTGAGTACTTCCCTGTTTTGTCATTTAACTCTGTTGCATTGTTTGGACATTAGATAAGATTCGATTTCAACATTTTTGGCCATGGATAGTACTGTGTGCTTCCTATCCCATTATACCAGAAATCCTTCTGTGGACACCTCAGTGAATCAGTAGCTTATGTGTGTGTGTGTGGGGGGGGGGGGGGCATTAGGCACCAGCTGTTGATATATGTTATATACTTTTTTAATTTTTGGTAGTGTGTAGATTAAACCCATGGCTTTGTACATGGCAATTGCTCTGCCACAGAATTACACCCCAGTCCTCATACACACACACACACACACACACACACACACACACACACACAGATATACATACATATATTAAAAATTTTTTAAAAAATTTTCTCCTTTCTGTGTTTTGTTTATTTTGGTTTGATTTTCCCCAGAAATTCTCTGTTTCAGGAAAATGTTCATGTTTTTCAGCGTTGCATTATAATTAGTGAATCATTTAAAATTCATGTTATAGTCCCTTTTCATAATCTGTTCAGTTCATTTGTATATTCTACTTTTATAAAAAGTCAATTCTTTTTTCTTTTTAAAATATTTATTTAGTTGTAGATGAACACACAGTATCTTTTTTATTTTTATGTGGTGCTGGGGATTGAACCCAGTGCCTCACACATTCGAGGCAAGTACTTTACCACTGAGCTACAGCCTCAGCCCTAAAATGTCAATTCTTTAGTCACTGATACCTTTTTGGTGTTTTTTAAAATTTGTAATTTTAATTTTCTCATTAGATGTCATAGTTTGTAGAAAATTCTGTTTTGTTTTGTTTTTAAAGCTAGTTTCTAACAAAGGACATATTTCTTAATCTGTGTCAATTTCTCTGCTAAAGAGAAGATATACCGGGAATGTAACTAAGTAGTAGAGTGCTTGCCTAAGTATGAGGCTCTGGTTTTATCCCAGTACTAGAAAAAACAAAAACAGAAACCAAAAGAAGCAGGGGCCATGTTCTCTTCAGGGCACACTGATATGTTACCATTGCCTGATTAATTGCATTGTCTAAAGCTTGGTTATTTATAATAAACGCAACAGACAAATATCCTTCTTTAATTCTGACTATCAGTTTTTCTTTGTATTTGAAGTCTGTTTCTTTTGTAATTTTTGATGGTTAATTGTCTCTTTATTAATACTATAGTAGTACAATAACAACATCAAAGAGAAGGACAGTGCCTAGGGTCACTTTCAGGTTTGGTAATATACTGGAAGAACTCACAGGACTCTCTGAAAGCTGATGCACTCACATTTATGGTTTATTATTAGGAAAAGAGACAGATCATAGTTAGCCAAAGGAAGTCCCATGGGGCAGGATCTAGGAAGTTTCATGTGGGGTACTTTCACTTTTTATCTCTTATTGGAATCATGTACAACACTGACTTTCCTGGGTGTAATATGTGAAAAAGACATGGGGTACAGCCAGTCAGGAAGCCATTTCCTGTCTATATTGAGTCTTCTTCACACAGATAGGATCAGTGACCATTGTTCTGATCTCAGTCTCCAGGCCCCTGAAAGGTCAAGGTGATACTGAGTGATTCAAAGCCCTCACCATAAATTGCATTGTTAGATTATCTGCTATGACCCAAATATTCTAGGTAAACAGACAATTTTTATCAGGTAGAACATTCCAAGAACTTCAAGATTACCTCCCAGTAACTGAGGGGAAAAGCCAGAGTTTTTTTTGAGGAAGGGGCAAGATTAAATTCTTTGCTGAATTGAAAGCATTTGCTTGAAATATTATCTTTTTTTTTTTTTTTTTTCTTAAAGCAGTGCTAGGGATGGAACCCAGGGCCTTGTACATCAAAGTGTACTCCACCATTGAACGGCATGCCAGAACTATCTATAGTAGTCTTTGTAAACTTTCAGAAGTTTGGTTTGGGAATGTGTCTTGTGAGCAGCATGAGGCAGGGTTTTTATTTTTTAAATAGAATTCTGAGAACTTTTGCCTTTTAACAGAATTTGAGCCATTTATCATAACTGAAAATTGTATCCTGTGGTTATCATGTTCTATTATTGCTTTTTGTTCTTCATTTTTATATTTCCTATATAAATTGTGTTGTTTACAGATTGGGAAAAGTGTTTTTAAATTCTGTTATAGAATTATCTTGATTTCTATTGCATGTGACAACAGTTTAGCATAACTTTATTTCCTGTGCTTTTTTTCTGTTTTAATATAAGTTGAAGTTATAGATTTGGTTTCTTATTTTAGTTTTTCTTTTTCATTTCAATGTTGTTTATATATATTTTTCTTTTGCATTTAATTTTGCCACAGTTATATACAATTTACTGTATACATGTAAATGTAATTGCTCTTAATGTTTATCACCAGTCCTTTTATATTTCAACTTTCTTGTCTTTGAATTTTTTATTTTGAGCAGTGGGGTATATCTTTTGTGGTATATCTTTTGAATTCTTGAATGTCTGTTGCCTTTATTCATTAATAACTTTTGTGCTGTATAAGAATAATTTTGTGAAGATCTGTTGATTTTTTAGTATTAGAAGAAATCCTTAGCCAACACAATTCTTTAATATGTAGGGAAATTTTCGGTTTTTATTTCAATTATTATGCTTAGAAGATATATTTGTTTAGCCTTTAATTAAGAACAAAAAGGAAGGAAGAAAAAGACCATTCTATTGTTAGTGTCTATTGATGTTCAAAGATGATCTAGGCACATATGGTTTTCTAGGACCCAGATTTCTAAATGAGTCATTTCTGTTAGTCTTCTAGATAGTAGTTGAAGTTATTATTTATTGTTTTTCTTTAGTATAATGAAGAAGGAAAGGAATCATAGGTTACTTAATTTAAATATAATTTATGTATGATTTAGCCACTCTGTGTTAGCTTTCCACCACTATAACAAAATATCTGAGATAATTAACATTTAAGGAAGAAAAGTTTTAGATCTAGGTTCTGGATGTTCCAGTCCAAGAAGAGGAGGGAGGCATAGCTTTGGACCTCTAACAAAACGGCACATGATAGTGGGAGTGTGTGGTGGAGCAAACTGCTCACCTCAGAAAGCAAAGAAGGAAAAGAAAGTACCAGAGTCCCACAGTCCCCTTCATGGGTACACCCCCAATGACCCAAGAACCTCCTACAAAGATTCTCTCAAAGTACATATGACGTTCCATTAGTGCCACCCTGAGCAGCAATCCGTTAACATAGATTTCTGTGTTGAAATACAGTGGAATAAGTAAAAACTAAATCTTTGAGAAACTGTTCATGAATTTAAATTTATAATGCATATTTTGTGACCCTTTCTCATCTTCTCTTTAGTAAGTATAATCCCCTCAGAGCTGACATACTAGCCAAATTAGGCAACAACCTCTCTTTATAAGGTCCAGGAGCTAAATTTGGCTTTTTTCCCCACCCCTAGAATTGTTAAGGAAAAAAAGAAAAGAAAGAAAATGAAAAGAAAAAAAAGACAGTGATGATGAATTCATGATATAAATTTGCTATCTAACTAGAGTATATATAGAACTATGATGCATACCTGGATTCTTACAGATATTGCCCATATACACATTATTCCTAGTGCCTCACTGAATACTGGTATTTATATAAATGTAAGAACAGATATTGTGAAAAAATTTTGATTTAAATTACAAGTTTCAAATCCATCCTTTATTCAAGTTAAATAAAATGATTAACTAATTTCAGTGAATCAGTAGGCAATCTTTGTATAACCCTGATTTTTCTTTGAATAGTATTTTTATACCTACCATTTTTTTGGTTTCCCAAATAAAAACTTACGATGTTCAACTGTCTCACATATTTAAGTTTTAATAGATTAGAAACAATAACAAACCTGTGATCATGTACCAACTTGCTTATTGAATTATTTTATTTAAAAATGTTTTCTGAGAAAATAAAAGGTCAAGTGAACCAGACATTGGGTTATTTGGTTTAATTTTCTGGAAAATCGGATTGCCTTTATCAGATCTTAGTGTCTCTCAGTCCTCATGCTTGGCTGACAGCTTGACAGTGGCTCTGCTGTGGTGGAGATGGGTGGGAGGAAGTTGCTTTGTCAGCAAAAAAGGGCTGTAAACTGAGCTGTAGAACCAGGGTCACCTCATCTTGACCTGCTGATCAGTAATGTGTTATGTCAGCATCAGAAAATGTGACTGCATGATTTTCTTTAATGCTAATTCTGACTTAGAAAATAACATTCAAAGCAGGGCTAAGCTGTAATGTCTTATTGCCCAGGACAAACCACATGCAGTGCCTCCTTATTATGTGCCAAATGGTCTTTTAAAACCAGGATTGTCAGAAAACCACAGTGGCTTTTAAATAGCATGAGTAGATTTGCTAACATAGAGCATGGAAGTCTTTCTAGTTTAACTCTTTAATAATTAGGTATATAGTTTGTCTCCTTAAAGATAGGGAAGCAAGTTCTTTTCATTTTTACAAGTCAAGCTGAAATATAAGCTTTGACATATGGAAACATTTTGTGATACTTTTACCATATAATCCAAGTTTGAAACATTAGAGACATTACTTTCTCTTCACTTCTGAATCCAACAAGACAATTAAAAAACAGTGGCTAATTGTTTTTCTAAATGTACTTCTTTTTCTATAAATGTACTTCAACAGAGGAGCAGTCTGTTTATTTTAGAATTCAAACAAAATTTGAGGTGGCTTTATAAGAAAAAAGTATTAAAAAGAATAAGATTAGAATTAAAAAGTAACTAAGAGAAGCAGAGATGAAGCAGGAGGATCACAAGTTCAAAGTCAGCCTCAGCAACTTAGTGAAGCCCTAGCAACTTAGGGAGACTCTGTTTCAGAAATTAGAAAGGTCTGGGTATATGGCTCAGTGGTTAAGCACTCCTGGGTTCAATCCCCAGTACTTAGCCATGCCTCACCAAAACAAAAACAAAAACAAAACAGAAGCCGAGAAATAGATGTTATCAGGTGTTGAGAATGTGTTCATAGACCATTTGGGCACTGAATCTGACTCAGAATTTTCTGACCAATTAGTCAGAGGAAATACATTGAATTGTATAGGGCTCATAAATGAAATATAACACACACATTTGTATATGCAGACTATTTTGTTTGTGGATTTTTTTTTTTCCAGCATAAATCTGCCATCTATGATTAGAGGGTTAAAGCAGAACCTGAAAAATTCCTTTTAAGGAAGAGTTTTAAATTTACTCTTATTTGCATGTCAGAGAATAGCTAATATTTAAATGATGTTCATTTTAGTATCCTAACTGAAAAACAGTGGAATTAGATGTCTTGTATTTGGATTTCACTATAGCAAATTATGTAAGAGTAGAAATCTTAAATGTTTTAGCAGCTATTATTTTGAGGAATTGAGACTCTTGTATTTGAACTGAATGCATTTCCCAAGTAACATAGTCAGTTTATTGTTTTCATTTTACAAACGTGAAAACAGAAGCTGAGACAATCTAAGTGGCCTGTTGGGCAGGGGAGTGTAGGGCAAGATTTTAAGATTTAAGACTGTCTGAGTTCTCGTTTTATGAGTTTGGCTTTGTGACCTTGATCAAGATGTTTAATTTCATGAATCTGTGTTTTTTCCTATCTGTAAAATAGAAATGATGTTAGAACATACATCTTTGGCTTCTTACAAGATGAAAAAACAGGTTAGAAATTTATAGTGATTAGCTTACAGTCAAGGCTCAATGTTTGCTGTGCTATTCTACAATATTTTGTTATCACAATTTTGAATATGAAATTACACTTGTTTTGAAATATTTCTTAGTTCTTCACCTATATAAGCCTGATTTACTATGTTTAAAGCCTTATTCTTCAGTAGTTAATAGCTAAATATTTTATAAAGTGATTTCCCGATGGTCTTTATCATAATCAGAGAGACATAAATCAATAAAATCAAACAAAACTCCCATGTAATTTTTACATCCAGAGTTGACATATTTGGTAGATGTTGCTAGAAACTTCTTTGGAACCTACAGGTGGATTTATTGTGCATAGAAAAATATATATTTTGCCATGTTGTATTCCAAGGCTGAAATTAACTTTTTCTGTGGCTTTTAGACTTCAAATAGTAGCATTTCTGTTTTGCAAATGGTGAAACAGAAATAAAAATGACTTTCCCTTGGCCAAATATCAAAGATATTAATATAAGATTCAGGATGCCCAAGGTCTCACTTTTCTTTTTTTTTTCCTTTTCTGTTTTCATTCAACTATTTTTACCACACAGTTTTGAAGATCAGATGATTGAATATGTGTATTATGTACTATTTTAATAATGTTAAACTATGAATAACTTAGATGGTGTCTGTTGGGTACTTTGCAAAGTATTGCATGTTTGTGCTCCTTCCCAGCAGTGAAAATAATATGACCATTTTTAAAGCCTGTTTAAAAATGTCATCTTGATATAATATCTTTCTACCCATTAAAATGGCCTACATTTTAACTAGATTTTTTTCTTCTTTTTCTAGCCATCCATCAAAAATTAGAGGCTGATGGAACGGAAAAAGTAGAAGGATCCATGACGCAGAAACTGGAGAATGTTCTGAACAGTAAGTTTTGTTCTATGACCTGAAACTATTTATGGGCTTTATAACAAGCTTTAATATAGTTCTTGGACCTGGTTTCACAGGACAACGTGGTAAGTTGCACTTCAATATTCATTTCTAAATAGTAGTGATTTAATAAACATAAAGGGGAAATAGCAACATTAAAAACAAATGTCCTGTTTTTGTTTTTATTTATGAGAAATCATAATTTGAAAACAAGCCATTTTACTTCTTAAGAAATAAAATTTGCTACCTTAAGACAGATTAGAGTGAAAAGCACTAAGCAGTAGCTGGAATTGTCATTGACCCAAAACCTGAAAACGTATCTTCAAGCATTTGCCAGTGTTTAACATAGATAACCTTACCTATAAGAACAACAGATGCTTAAGGATTGCTAGTTTACACCTTTCATTTCTTTAAAAGGAATTTGGGCAGCTGTCTGTTTAAGAGTGAATCTAACTCTAAGATATTTTGTAAGAACTGTAGATCCTGGAGAGAATGGTATATGCAAAAATTTGTATCCTGTCCACCTCCTCTTTTCTCCTTTTTATGACATCCTGGGCTCCAGCTACTTATCCTACTGATTTAGAAGAAGCTCATCAGATGAATTAGTCCTTGTTATGTTATTAGTGGCTTAAAATTTTGTTGTCCTGTTTCACACATGTAGTTATCATTTGATATGAAGTGATAATTTGCACAGGAATCTCCTTGCTTTTAAATATAATATAGTATATGATTTCCATATAAAAAATGGGTCAAAAAATTAAGAAACCTTACTTTGGATCTTTAAAGATTCTATGACCACAGGACTGTGATATGAAGCTAACTCTGTCCTTTTAGATTAATTTATTCTCATGAGCAGAATTTGTAGATCCTTTATGTAAAAATCTGTTCACAAACCTGGGGAATTCTTAATAAGAAAGTATTTTTTTGAAAAAAAAGTTTCACTGGGTGTGGTGGTTCTTGCCTGTAAGCCCAGCTAATCAGGAGCCTAAGGCAGGAGGATTACATATCTGAGGCTGGCTTTTGGAATTTAATAAGACCCTGACTCCAAATAAAAAGGGCTACTATATAGTTTGGTGGTAAAAGTGCCCCTGGGTCTAGTCCTTAGTATTTCCAGGAGTTGGGAATGGGGGTTAATTTAATGTCTGCTTTCTTTGGTAATAGAAATTGAATACTTGAATTTCATTCTAAATCTGTGAATTGACAGCACTTAAAAAATCTTCTCTGATTATTATTGCTATTATTGTTGTTATTTTTTTGTCCTAGATTTTGCCTTGCTTTTGTGTCTGAGAATGAAGTCACCGATTTTGTTAAAATAAGTGTATTTTGAATACTACCCAAATAAATAATGCAGTCAGACATTTTAAGGTTTTGGAAGGATGTTTTATACTCAGGGATATTATTATTTATTTATTTTTTAAGAGAGAGAGAGAGAGAGAATTTTAATATTTATTTTTTTAGTTTTCGGTGGATACAACATCTTTGTTTATATGTTGTGCTGAGGATCGAACCCGGGCCGCATGCAGGCGAGCGCGCTACCGCTTGAGCCACATCCCCAGCCCTCAGGGATATTATTTGCACTATAGAAGTTGTCATCAAACCATGACATTATACAAAAACAAACAAACAAAAAAATGAGATCTCGGGGCTGGAAATATAGTTCAGTTGGTAGAGTATTTGCTTAGAATGCATAAGACCCTGGGTTCAATCCCTGGCCCCACAAAAAAAAAAAAAAAAATGAGATCACTAGCATTTAAAAGTATAGCTGACACTAACTAAAGCATTGTGACAGTAGAAGAGGTACTTGTTAACTTTTGTTAGGCTTAACAATGTGTGGTAACAATTTTCTTCTGTTAAGGTATAGTTTGGAAACAATCTTCCCTTGGGAATTCTAGTATAGAAGTTGTAAGAGAAGTTGTTTCATTCTATTCTTTTGAAACTGTGAACCTTTTCTAAAAATGTGTCACATGAATTCTACTGAAGTTTGCTCTTTTGGGATAAAGTTAGGTTTGACTGACATAAATAGTCCCTTCTTTATAAGATCCTCAGGGATTTTTAAAGAAAAAATATTCCTTAAAATATAGTCCTTTATAATAATTTCCTTTTTCCCAGAAACATTCTTTATCAAAGTGATGTTTATGTTTGCTATCTCAGTATAAGGTTTTGCTAATTCAGGTCAGCATAACAAACATTTATTTCACATTAGCTATGTAAAGTCCTGGGCTAAGCCTGCTTAGAAGATGAAGCCCAAAGAGCTGTGGCTCTAATATTGTAAGAGAGTTTTCGGTGCAGACGGGAATATTCTAGATGGCCAAGGATTTAAGTACTGTAAAAACAATGAAAACAGAGAACTGAGATCAAGAAAAATAATTATACAAGTACCATTGAACATTTAATTTCTTTTTAAGAGGACAGAAGGAATAAATGGATAAGGAAGGAATAAATGAGTATGACTACTGTTTAGTTTGCTTAAATAATCACTAATGCTTTTATCTTACATTTCAGAATTGCTAACTTAAATGTAACTTCTTTCTCAAATTTTTAATGCCTTTTTTTCAATGTTGAAAACTTTTTAAAAAATATATTTTTCAGTTGTAGATGGACACAATACCTTTATTTTGTTTATTTATTTTTATGTGGTGCTGAGGATCGAACCCAATGCTTCACACGTGTGAGGCAAGTGCTCTACCGCTGTGCCACAACCTCAGCCCCAATGTTGACAACTTTTATTGGAATTGTTTTTGGTTTTCATTGACATATGCTTTTCATATTTGCCTGAACTTAAAAAAATTTTTTCCTTGATATCAAGCCAGTGATGAATTTTTATTTGTTTACATCAAATTCATTTATCTGCTGGGCATTGTAGTATGTGCCTATAATCCCAGTGACTTGGGTGACTGAGCAACTTAGTGAGACCCTGTCTGAAAATAAAAAATGGAAAGGAATGGGGAGATAGCTCAGTGGTGAAGCACCTCTAGGTTTAGTCCTCAGTACCTGGAGGGCAGGGGCGGGGGGGGGGGGGGGAGCCACTTAATCTAACTCTATGTTTTTTATCTCTTCCAAAAGTGTAAAACTATAAAATATTACTGTCCAATAGGACTTCTACAATGATGAAACATAGTTATTGAAAACTTCTGATGTGGCTTGAATAACTGAGGAATTGAGTCTATTCTCCCCAAGCTCTGGGGATGAACCCAGGACCTTGTTAAATGCAAGGTATGCACTGTACGACTAAATTATATCTCCAACCCTGAATTTTTAACTTTTATTTAATTTTAGTTAATTTAGCAGTGTTAGATTTCCCCATCATTATGACAAAATGTCTGAGAAAATCAACTTAAAAGGAAGAAAGGTTTATTTTGACTCATGGTTTCAATGCATGGTCAATTGTCTCCATTTTTGGGGGGGCCTGTGGTTAGGCAGGGAGTGCTGATGAAGCAAAGCTACTCACCTCATGATAACTGCAAAGAGAGAGGAAGGGTCCAGGGTCTCCATATCCCCTCAGGGGCACACTTATAATTACCTAACTTCCTCTCACTAGGCCCAACTTCCTAAAGGTTCCACCATCTCCTAGTAGCACCATAGGTAAGTGACCAATTCTTTAGAATATGGGTTTTTAGGGACCATTCAAGATCCAAACTATAGCACCAATTAAGTCTTGTACTGGGGATTGAACCCAGTGGCTCTACCACTGAACTTCACTCCCAGACCTTTTTATTTTTTGTGTGAGGGTCTCACAAAGTTGCCAGGTCTGGACTCAGTCTCCTGAGTCTTTGAGATTACAGCTGTGTAACACCACACCCAGTAGCCTCAGATGGCTAGTAGCTGCTGGATTAGACAGTGCAGATATAGATAGTACAATCTGAGTATTTGTAGTGGTTATGATAATAATAGCTGTTTTAGTTAGCTTTCATCACTGTGACCAAATCACCTGGCAGCAACACTTAGAGTAGGAAAAGTTTATTTGACTCACAGTTTTGGAAGTTTTAGTCCTTAGACATTGCTCTAAGCTCCATTGCTCTGGGCCCAAGGTGAGGTAGCACATTATGGAAAAAAGGCTCAGTGGAAGAAAGCTACTTAGCTCATGGTGGGGTCAAGAAGCAGAAAGAGGGAAGGAGAGGGGAGAGGAACCACAGGAAAGATGAACCCTTCTAGGGCACATCCCAGTGACCCACCTTCTCCAGCCATCCCTATAGTCTTATTTTGTTTTACTTTATTTTATTTTTTGCAGTACTGGGATTTCAACCCGGGAGGGGCACTCTACCTACATCTCCAGTCATTTATTTTTTATTTTTTTCCTTTTTGAGACAGGGTGTTGCTAAGTAGCAGAAGCTAGCTTCTAATTCTCTTGTTTAAACCTCTTGCGTTGCTGGGATTCCAGGTGTGCACTGCTGTGCCCAATTCTCCATTTTATTGATGAAAATATTGAAGCACAGAAAATTAAATTAGCTACATAAATTCATACAAGTGAAAAGGCTAGGAACTATAATATTAATGCATAAGTTTGGAGCCAGATTTCTGGATATAATTGCTAGGTTTTGGTGTGCCCAAGTATCAGTTAAATAAACACCCAACACCCAACAACACAGTTCAGATTTCCGTTACTATCGTGTATTCACTGTAACTGTGTGATCAGTCCATAAGATGAAAATGTATCAAACAACAAAACGTGATGATACTGTATGTTAACTTTAAATCCAACGTAAATGGAGTTATGGAAGATGGTGACAGTGGGAATGGCCTTGCTGCTGTTCAAGACTGGAGATGTGTCTTTGGAGGGATTCAGTGAAGGTGATCTTCCTAGTATAACTAAGAGAAGAGCTTGTGAAGAAAAGGAAATGCCCCAAGGGAAGTGATACTTAAAAGCACTCTCAGGGAGATATTACAAAGTGCAAAGGAAAGAAGATAATTTGTCAAAGTAAAAAAGCAAGAACTCTTTTAAGTTCTAAAAAAAAAAGAAAACACTTGAATTTTCATTGTTTCTAATATTTGAAACTGGGTACTAATAAGAAATTAGTTTTACAATTTTTATTTTTTCCTATTCATTTTAATCAGTGGTATGTAAGTTTTAATGTTTAAACAAACATTTTTAGATGTCATAGAAAATTTAAGTTAAATGTGGAGGGCCCTGGGTTCTTTCCCCAGCACTGAGGTAGGGATGAAGGGAGGGATATGTACAGTGGAGTAGGAGGAATATCAGGATGATCATGTGCATCTTAAAAGGAAGCAGGAAATAAGCAAAGGCTGATGAGTGGGAAGCTCAGCAGAGATGGTTACAGATCCTGGAAGGGTTAGCAGCATCAAGGAGAAGATAATGACTTCAGAAAGGAGATGGGATGCTGGATCTGTAATGGCTAATGTGTGGTGGCTATGGGAGAGATGGGGCTTGCTCAACACAATCTCTTTATGCCTTAGTGTGTAGTTTGTCTTTATCCTAAAGACTAATGATGAGTCATTCAAGGAATTTAATAAGGGAATGATGTGATGAGATTTTTAAAAGAGCACTTTGCCATCTGTAGAGGGAGTAATTTAGAGAGAGCTGCACTGGAGGCAGGAAGAGAATCCCAATAGAGTGCATAGCAGTAATGTAAGGGGGATCTTATGAGGACTTCCAACCTAAAAGGTGGGTAAAGTAGAGCCAACAACAGTGAAGAAACATTAAAGAGATAAGGATGGCGGTATTTGGTCATTGGTTTGAGGTAGGAGGTAATAAAAAGGAAGTGGTCAGTGATGGCTTGTTTTCTGGCCTTCTGGAGGAAGGAGGGGAGGTTTGGGCCATGAGAAGGAAAGTAGAGAGGAAAAAAATTGAATTCAATTTATAACATAAATTTATAACATAAAAGTCTCAGATTCTAAGGGTCATACCAGTGAGTATCTTCGTAGCTCTTACCACTGTATCACATGGAACAAGTGGAAGAAATTATGTCAGTTACCTCTACTTTAAAATAGGGGTAAAAATAGTGCCTGTCTTGGAGGGGCATACAAGTTTAATGTAAAGTACATGTAAAGTTAAGATTAGCACCTAGCATAGAGCAAATTCTCAGTGATTAGCTGTCATTATTATATGTCTAGTGAAAATATTTTTAAAGATTAGTCTTAAGTTCACAGACACATTTTGAGATATAGATTTGTGAGTCACCAGCATACAGAAAGAGTGATATGATTGAATAATTTAATTGAAGAACTTTGTATAAAATTAAAATAACCAGATCATGTTGTTAGGAAATTAAGGGATATCTGTAAGAGTCAAGTTTGTAAAAAAGAAACATGTCTACTTAGTGGTTGGGTGGTAAATATTTAACAAGTGACATTTAAAAAAGAAAAAGAAAACCAACCTCAATTTTAGCATTTCCCAAACTTGACTTGAAAAGAAGTTGGGGAGAGCTGTGACTATTTGGCTCTTGAGAGTGTATGAAACTCATCCCCAGGATTCTAGTTGTGTGTCCTTTTTTTAGAGCTGTAGTGGCTGTAACATGGTGTTGTAAACATGCATTAACTATTGTATACAATGTGGTTTGGGTAATATCATTATGTTAGGCAGCTGCTATCTAGTGATTTTCCAGAATCTGTTAAAATGAGATACCTAAAGCAAGTTGTTAGGTCTCTCTCTGTAGTCCTAATTTTGCTATAAATGTAAACATACGTTTTAGGGTTACCTTAATCTTCCTGAGTATCCTAAAGTTTAATTTTTTAGTATCATTTGTTTTTCCTATTCCTGGGATAGATTGTACTGTGGTGGGGGCACTCCTTCATCCTTCTCCGACCCTCGCAAGTCCCAGGAATGGGAAAGCACAGATTAAAAATCACTTTTAAGATCTACTGTCTCAAGTGTCTGGACCAAGAAAGGGACTAATAAGGTCACTTTGAAATAAGAGAAAGTAACATGCTTGAAATTTCAAGACACCTTGGAATTACAGGACTAGATTTTCTAGATTACAGGAGTTCCTGGGACAATTAAATATTTTTTTTTGTGTGTGTATTATGGATAGATCAGTTGGTAGGTCTGAGTATGAGGTTAGTATACAGTGGGAAAGTGACTTTTCTTTTCATGTTACTCTGTGGAAAATTTTTACTGTTCCATGAACCCAACCATAATTGTGGCATTTGGCATGTTGTTGCAACAGCATTGCTATTAATTCTTGGGAATTGTGTGTAACTGAGATAGTGATGGTTACAGTCCAAGTTAGCTGGTGTTGACATCATCTCTGGGTGAGGAGAAAGATCTTTTCAGGTCTAGGATCAAAGCTTCTTCTTTGATTTGTAAGGCCAAAGTCATGGTTCTCACGACCATCCGATTCTGTTAAGTTTTGTTTTGTGGTCACACACTGGATACTTAAATCCCTGCCTTAAAATTAGGTATTCTTGGTGTGAGAACGTGGAGTGAGGTGTGAGGTGTGTGTGGGTCAGCATACATGGGGGATATTTATTGGATGTCTGTGGATGTCCTACTGATGGTCTTATCTGTAACAACAGCCCAAAGATGAAGATCCCTCCCCCTTTAAAAATATTTATTTTTTAGTTTAGGTAGACACAATATCTTTATTTTATATTTATGTGGTGCTGAGGATTGAACTCAGTGCCTCATGCATGGTAGGTGAGTACTCTGCCACTGAGCCATAACCCCAGCCCCAGTGCCCTTTTTGTGTAGTAGTTTTGTTTTCTTATTAGTAGCCCTAGGGAAGAAAGACAGTGCATTTTGTGACCTGCTGGTGATTTTTATCTGCTGTACAAATCTTGATTTCACTGTTCTCCTGTATTTTGTTACTGGATGTATCATTTAGTTATTAGAGTCATGAACTACTGTTTTATTGTTAATGCAGTAAAGTTCACAGCAGAATAATATTTATTGAAAAGTTATCTATATAATTTCTTAGTATCATACAAATTAAAATCCTTCATATAAATGCATATATTTCCATATAAATTATAATTTTATAGTTTAGAATTTCTGTCTATAAACTTTTCTGTATACAATATTTTAATTTTATTTTATTATAAGTAGCTTTTCTTCATATTCTTGTTCTCATATTTTTTAGGGATTAAAATTAATTATTAGTTGCTAATATTTTATTACTTTAAAAATAAGATGAGAAAAATCCAATTTTGAACTCTTTACCCTGTTTGTTCCAAATTCTTTCATTTTCATTGAACAGAAAAGAAGCTTAATTACTTAATGTCTAAACTTCACATATAAGTAAGTAACCTTTTAAAAAAGATTAATTTCCACTTGGATATCTATTCATTTATGAGACCTCAACTCGTGTTTATATTTTTAGAATGATAAGCAAATACTTTAGAATAATTTTCCTTGAAGAAAGAAAGTTTTAACCCTAATCAGATTTCAGATATTCATTTAGCCTCTATTATGTGGTTTGGTGGCAAGAAGAAAATGTATTTTTCTTCATCTTATAGTAGAAATTTAGCAGTCTACATTAAATAGCATGTGGTGAAAACAGTTATCTTGACCAAACAAAGTTTTTATATCAGGCCTTTAAAATCTCAACAGAATTTAAACATTATTTAGATAAAACAATCATGTTACAAAGACGACTTTTAACACGATCAGGCCACCCACAGTGTGGACCAGAGGATATGGCATGCAAGCCACCCAGTGAGACTGAGGTAATTTTTTCATCTTTGCTTAAAGTATAGTCACTAGACCAGATAATGTAGAAACTTTTTACAAGCAGCGATCAAACAGCCAAAAACAGTTTATCCTTTCTCTCCCCTTTCCTTGTGGCTAATTAAAAATAATTCACAAGTTGCAAAATTTAAACAATTTTTTGTACTTGCAAATTTTACTTTAGATAAAGCAGCTCTTTCATTACAGTGACCCATATAATTTGACATCTTTTAGGAAAAAAATTATGAAATATTCTTGTATAACTTTATAAGAATTAGCTGATTTAAGAAATATTTATACTATGTTAAAGTTTGTCATTTTAAATTGTGTATATAATTTTCTGTGTCTGCTACATAAGGAGATAATTCTATCAAGAAATAGGATTAGTTTTAAAATTACTTCTTTTGAACAACTTTTCTGAAAATGATTTTCCTTGTTTTGTTTATCGCCCCATATGTAGATGCTGAATCCATAGAATTTCAGTAGTGTGCATGTATATCTGCACACATCTGTATGTTTGTTTTACTTTTTTTGTCTGAAGTAATGATATAACTTAAGGGCCATAATTGCAATAACATTTAAAAGAGTAACTAAAATAAATACAGGTTCATGTGGGAGAATTTATTTGGGCATGGAAAGTATAGTTGTTTTTAATTGGGTACCATTTTTCACATATGAAAAGACTTAGCAGGCAAAATGGAAATTTTATTTTAGCAAACTATAAAAGATCTCCAATATAGCTAACTTAAAAAAAATAGTTTATTGCATTTAACTGTAAAGTTTCGATAGCTGTCTCAGACTTTGTTTCTAGTGCTCAGTTACACATTTTGTGATTCAAATTAGCTTTTATTTAAGTTTCTTTTTCTCCTTTAAAAATAGGAGCAAGTAATACTGCGGACACGTTATTTCAAGAAGTATTAGGTCGAAAGGACAAGGCAGATTCTACTAGGAATGCACTCAATGTACTTCAGCGATTTAAGTTTCTCTTCAATCTTCCTCTGAATATTGAAAGGAATATTCAAAAGGTAGAGAAAATATTTGTGTACTAACAGTTATAAATGTTATAAGTTTTAAAGGTTTGTTAATACATTTTTAATATTAACCAAATGTCTTCGTTATGCTTTATTGATGGTCTCCAAAATGTTTCTTTATTTTAAAGGGTGACTATGATGTGGTTATTAATGATTATGAAAAGGCCAAGTCACTCTTTGGGAAAACGGAGGTGCAAGTTTTCAAGAAATGTAAGATTTGTTTATTACTTCTACATCTTCTACTTTCCTTTTACAGGAAGAATGAGGAATGTGTTCTGTAAAGAATGTTACATGCATTTTAGATTTTGTTTATATGGTGTTCTCTTTAAAATGTAAAACAATTACTTCAAAAATAACATGATTTTCTTCCTGAGATGCAGTGAAAATGAGCACTCGTGACGATGGGTTATTCTTGGACATTCTTTGCTGCTAGTCACAGTGCTCTTAAAACTCTTTCTTATCAGAAAGAAGCAAAGACAGGTATTTTATAGACATAAATCTGCATTTCGATTTTTTTTTCCTTTGGAGAGAACAATCTATATGAATTCTAATTCTTTTTTAGAGCAAACCCAACATCTTTTGAAATTATTTCTAATACTGGATTTACAGAGTATAAGAAAAGCTTAAAATGCCCCATGTTTAAACTCCCATCAATTAGAAATATTATAGGGTTTACTAAAAATGAAATATGTAAGAATTCAGAAATCATAATTTTATTTCTTTTCTGTGGTAAAATTTATATTTACTTAAATGCACAGACCTTACAAGTTATAGGTCATTTATTTCTAACAAAAATACATGCCCACGTACACACTCAAGATGGTGTTTTGATCACTTCCAAAGGTCCCTGTACTTCTTCTTAGTCAAAAGGAACCATCTGCTTTCTGAAATTTGATTTTAAATTTTAATTCTGCGAATCTTGTGTATTCTTTTTAAAAATAGATTATGCTGAAGTAGAAACACGAATAGAAGCTTTACAAGAATTACTTCTGGATAAATTGCTTGAGACACCATCAACCTTACATGACCAAAAACGCTATATAAGGTAAAACTTTTGCAAGAATTCTGAGGAATCACCTTTATCTGTTTTGGTATTGGATGTGTCAGGTAACCCTTAACACTGATTTGGGGGAAATTAGTAGACTGCTGATAAAATGGTAAAAGAGAAGCCAAATAGCAGAAATTTAGGGTTTTTGGTATAGGACACCAAAATTCTTTTGAATACCAATAAATTGGGAGTAGTTACATAGTATTTACTTTCTAAAGCTAGAAAATCCTGCCAGTTTGGCAAAGGAACAGTAGCCCTATTGCTTAGTCACCTCTTCCTCCTGTGGGTTACCTAACTTTGTGGGATGGTGTGGTGCCACACCCTGTGAATACCATAGTTCATGAAGTAGGGGCTCTCTGTATGGTTTAAAGAGAATAATACTGTCTTACGCTGTGTGAGAAATTATTCATGCCATAGGAGTGTCCCATGGCTCAATAGTGAAGAAAGTTCTGGAAAGTTTTGCCCTTGAGTATCTATCTGATTTACAAGCCTTTAATGGTCAATAAGATAAATATTGTTACTAAATAGAAATACTTTTTTAAAAATAGCAATAATATTAAAAGAGGTGGACTTCATAGGATATGAAGAGTCTTCAGGAAGAAGCAGTATCTCATGATGGAACTAGCTGTTCATTATAGTTAACTATAGGCATATATGCATTTGGCTGTGATTATCATGTGATCATTGAAAATACTCTGCAGGCATAGGAGAAGGATCTGTTCTAAAAGCTTCTGTGTGTGCAGTTGTGGAGGGTCCAAGAGTTTACACTCAGACCTTGTCCTGATGATGAGGGAAACTGGGAGCACGAGCCACTGCATTGGTACACACTAGTTTTGTCTAGTTGGAAGGTGAGGAGAGGCTTGGGGAATAGGACAGAATGAGCAGTAAAGTCAGTTGCTGCCACTGCAGAAAGTGTACCCTGTGCCTGAGCACTGCCCTGGGTGCATTCTGTGTTTCCTCTCTTAGCAAAGGGTACTTGCATTGTGCCTGTTACACAGGTGAAGAAAGCAAAGCTTGCCCAGCACACACAGCTAGTAGGATTACTTCTACTGTTGGTCTGGTTCAAAGCCTATCCTGGCTTTTCTCCGTGTTGTCTCCTTAAGGAAAGAATGTCTACAGCAGACTTTTCTGGCTCATAGAACTGTATAAATTTAAAGCTGGAAATAAACTACATGTTAGTTATCCAATTGTTTTATTTTCTACATATAAAATATAATTTTGGTAAGGTGGAGTGTGTTGTCCAGGACACATTGATGAGGAACAGGTGCCCCGATTCTTCCTTGCTCTGTTCCCCTCTGCTCCTTTACAGATTTTTCTCTATAGATTCACCTAGCAGTTCATTTGTTATGTTAAATTTGCCTGCAGTAATATGTGAGACTTTACCGAGTATAAAATTTCTTTATAGGTAAATTACTGTCTGTATGGATAATGGCCAGTTCATATGATCAGGTTTTTTATTCCTGAACATCATTTAAAAGATGGTAGGGTCAGAAGAGATGTCTTTAGATGGCCTATTTTGCTGCTTTCTTCCCCTTTCATTTTAAAGGAAAAACAACAAGGATGTCAACAATGGTTGAGTTGTTTTCATCATTATTTTATTTCTGATGCTTTGAGAAGACACTAAGCAATTTGATTACTTTTTTCTAATTAAAATTTTAGCCATTAATAAGTAGAAAATAAGATCAGAACCAGATCAAGTATCTGTTGGGTTTTAAAAACTATGGTGATAGACACTGAGAGCACAAGGTGGGAATAGAAACAGCTTTATTATTAACAAAAATAACAGAGTGTTAGTATTCTGTGATCCATTTTATGCATAGTAGAAGTGAAAATCAGATTACTTGCTGTAGTGTCTTACTCTTTATTCATTATTTTATCAAATGTAAATCTTCATGATTAGTTTTACTTCTCATTCTGTCTTGATCTGGTAGAGAACTTGTTAACTTTAACAAGAACCAAGCTCCATTTACTCCTTTCCATCTAAGTGTGACCCTGTTTCTGATAATTTGTAAAAATCGGAATATAGAATTTAAAATTTTTACTCTTAAATGTGAAAATTATTAAGCCTATGTCCATCATTTTTGGAATGTTTTCCCTCAAAAGCCTTCATAAAAAATATTCTTTAATGTGTAGTTTTAAACATCATAATTCTAAACAAAGATCTTTATAAGGAAACTATTAGTTTTAAGCTTCATACTAAAAGAAGAAACTTATTGGAAGAGGATGGAATAAGCTGAATTGAACTGAACTGATCTGAGTTTTGCAGAAATATTTGGAGGCATAGCAAACCTATTTAGTAAGCTTGTTGAAATCAGTTACTCCCAGCAAGAAAGAAGCGCGTGTTCTTTGGGAAGAGTAGACACAATATATTATTTGTTATATTTGCATTACAGATAATAAAATAGGAAAGTCTTGTGTGAGAGGAAGAATCAGATTGGTTTTTGAAAGCTTTGGAAGGAATTCCCTATGCTAAGCTAAATTTAATTTGTTAGATTATTAGGAGATTATTCTCAGATAAAGAGACTTAGGTGATGTCTTTTTATTTTAATATATATATTTTTAGTTGTAGATGGACAAATACCTTTATTTTGTTTTGTTTTATTTTTATGTGGTGCTGAGGACCAAACCCAGGGCCCCTCACGTGCTGGCAAGTGCTCAACCACTGAGCCACAACCTCAGCTCTTAGGTGGTATCTTAATATTAGTAAAATTCTTCCTTTTAATTGACTTGTGTCTTTGTCAACTCTGACACATCGCCTGTTTGAAACCTACCCACAGTCATCAGGAGGAGAAGGGCAGGAAGCCTGTCAAGTGCAGTGTGATCCATGCTGTGAAATGGCCCTCTGTAGATGATCAAATGCCTAGACATTCTCAGAAACAGGAATCCAATAGCTAGTGGAGGTTGGGGTTGTTGTGGATAGTTTCTCAATATGATGTCATGTTTCTTCTCAACATCTTCTTTGCTAACTTATTATGAAATTGATTTGTTTCTCCTCTAATTAGCTGCTAATTGAGATGTCTGAGTAATGAGTACTGGCTACTGAAAAAATTGGGAGGGAGCATCAGGCATGAGTGATTGAGATTTGGCTAGAGGTCACAGCTTGTAGTTATTAATGAATATTTATCATTGACCAAAAATCTTTAACCACAAGACAAAGGATAGCCTATTATTTAAGAATAATTTTAAGACAATAAATTTATTCGAATATGCTTTTTGATTTGATTTAATTGGTTTTTAACTTGTTGTATTCATACATTTTGTGAAGTATGAATGCCTTATCTTGAATACTATTTGATAGAAATTTTTTAACTGTAATATATTTAAAGTGTCTATATGGATTTGCGTATTTTATACACAGAGACATAAAATATTTTAAAAACTTTTAAAATAAGAAACTATCCATATATATTCTAGAGAAACATTTTCTCAGTGATGAATTAGTTTGTTACCAAATTGCTTCATGTTGAGAAAGCAGTCTTGTTTTAGCTCTTAATAAGCTGTGTTACACTGCCATCTGGTGGCTGTAACAGTTGCAGTTCTTTAACCAGTGTTCTTGGCTTGCCCCGGGTCTTTCATGTAATGATTTCAAACAGAGTAGGCATAGTCTGAGAACTAAATGTAGATTATTAGATGTAAAGGAAAAGCCTCACCATGTCAATAGGATCACTTTGTCTTTGTCAAGTTGTCTTTGTCTTTTTAGTTATCTTTATACAAAGAGCCAATTAAAAATTACAGTTCTGTTATTATTGCATGAAAAGAAATTTGATCTTGTTTGCAAATTAGATACTTAATATAATATTGACAAATGCTTTACTCATTAATACAATTTTAGTTTTTCTTAAAAAAAAAAAAAGGTACTGATTTTAAAATATGCTTGATTTTCTTTTTGCGCTCACTTATAACAGAAAAAGCCATGGGCTTGCTTTTTTTTAAGGTATCTGTCTGACCTTCATGCTCCTGGTGACCCTGCCTGGCAATGCATTGGAGCCCAGCACAAGTGGATCCTTCAGCTCATGCACAACTGCAAGGAAGGCTATGTGAAAGACCTGAAAGGCAAGGGTTTCTTTTCTGATGTATATGCTATTCCTTTATATCACTTTAATATTCTTTGGGAATGCTTAATGATTAAGGGAATGATTACCTATTTTTCTTGGTATCTGTACCTGTCCCGTTGGTGTTGCTATTGTTAACCCCTCTCCGCTTTTTAACATTGTACTTACTAGCTGGAAACAGAGGGAAGGGTGAAAACTTTTTTAATATGTTTGCTTTTGTGACCAGTTAACAGGATTGACAAGAGTTTGTTGTAAGGAACATTTAAAATTTCATTGGAGTCAGCATGATGCTCTAGAAATGACAGTAATTCTTGATAAATGTTAGTCTTGCTAATTGTTTCATCAGATATATGCTGATCTATACTGCATACCAGACAAATTCCAATTACTAAATAGATAGTGATGAATAAGACCCAAGCCATGTCTCATTGAATTCACAGGAGGGAAAAGTCATTAAACCTGTAACAATAAAAACATTGAGACAAATGATAAAAAGGAAAACAAAAGGTATTCTGTGGGGGAGTAACTGAGGAAAGTGCTTTAGATGACTGGTTTGGGAAAGTATCTCTGGAATGCTTCATTTTAGCTAAGAATTGGAAGTGGCTTATCAGGCAGACTCCACCCAGCCTGAGAAAGGGAACCACTTGAGCAAAGGCCCTCAGGTGAGTTTGAAGAGACAAGTTAAACCTGCATGAAATTGTTTTCATGAAGGTTTATTGACTTATTTGTATAATCCTGGCATTCAACAAATATTAATATATTGAATGTCTACCATGCTCCCAGATACTGTGGGTGGCCAGTATAACTGACAAGGGGCTGATTCATACAGGTTTACAACATCATGGAAGAGACATTCTGGTTGGCTATAAGGATACTGTGTACTATGTCATATTTTAAGATTGGGGTAGTGTTTAATGCTGTCATAGCACTTAGGAACAGAACCTAATTTAGGGTTTTGGGGTCAGGGAAATAATATTCTAAGATATGAAAGAAATTCATTGACTCTGAGGTCTAAAGGCTACCTGTGTTGATGATTTCAAGTAGAAGAAGAAAGAGTTAAAGATCATTCCAGGAAGAGTACTAGGTTTGGAGCAAGGGAAAGCCACTGAATTTTGTATGCCTGGAGCAAGAAAGTGATTAGAATTGGAGGAACTGAGACTGGAATTAGGACACACCAGATAATGGACTTTGTTAGCTGCTTTGAGTGGTTTGGCAGTAGGGAGACATTGAAAGACTTTAAAAGGTGAAAGACATGATTAAACTTATTTTTAAAGAGAGGATGACTCTGGCTTTCATATACAGAATCAATGAGAGGGAATAAGCCCCAAGCAGGGAAGCTGGTTAGAAGCTAGTATGATAATTCTGGCATCTGACCTAGCATGGAGGTGTTGGAAATGTGAAGTGTGTAGATTACAGGGCTATTTAGAAAGTAGATAGATATGACTAGGTACTGGAAGAATGAGGAAGAGGAGGAGGGGATGAAGGATGACTCTCAGGCATCTGATTGTGGTAATTTACTAGTATGATGGTATTATTGAGTTAAGGGACTTAGAGGAAAAATGTGATTTTTTCCCTCCTTTCATTTGGATAGGTGGATTTGGAATTGTTTGACATGCAAGTAGAGATACCCAGAAGGTATTTGTACTTAAAGGAGCCAGAGATTTGGGTATGGTTGCACATGGATGATTCTTAGGAGTTGATGCACTCATTCAAAAAGATAAAAGAGAAGAAAACCAAGAATGGAATCCTGAGGAGCTAGTAGAAGAGAAACCTGGACAGGAGATGATGACAGGTTGGTTATCAGGACAAGATGGAAAAAGGAAGGCCTACAGCCACAAAACCAAAAGGAGGGAGTTATTGAAGTTTTTAAATTGAAGTGGAAAGTAAGAGTGAAATGTCCTCTAGATTGGGCACCAAGGCTGCTGTTGGTGACCTTGGCAAATATATTGTCAGTGGCCTGAACTCCTGAGTAGATGACGTAAAATGAGGAGTTGTAGTGATCATCAGGTCCCAGAAGAGTTAGGTGAAATGACATGAGAACAATCCTGGCCCAGAAAGATGATAACAGTTGTTGCCTATATTTATTTATAGCATAATTTTGTCATGAATTGTTTGGCTTGGATTTGAGTACTTACCAGTTTTGATTCTTGTTCTTTTTTATGTTTGATATTTCAAAAAACACGAATATCTCTCTGTTGATGCCATATCAATATTTCTATTGATATCATTAATTATTTTACATTTGTAGCAAGGGAAAATGATAGCAAATAAGACACAGAGACCTTAGTCTTTGGGAATACTTAAGATTGTCTTAACATACTAATTTCTCTGTTGATTTAACTAGTAATTTTTTAGTCTACTTGTTTAGTAGGCTTTCAATCTTAACTACACATCAGAATTCCTAGATTTCCAGAATCCGACACCCATCAATTCCATACCAATTGTATTAGATTCTGGAGGTGAGACCAGGTGGCAGTATTTTTCAAGCTTCCAGGTGAGTCAGCTGCAGCCAGGGTTGATCATTGGTGCATTTACTGTTTGTTGTTCTGGGGGCTAGAAGTGCTGTGGTGAGAAGGCTTCTTAGATCTTGGAGTTTGGTGGGATAGATGTATGATTTTTGAAATCATATAAGTATGTGTTTAATTATAATTGTAAAAAGGATTATGAAGTGTAGAGTGCAGAATTTTATGAAATCATATTACAAGGATACACAGACTGGCTTGGGGAAAGTACAAAGAAGTGTCCTAGAGAAGGTGATACCTCAGTTGAACCCAAATGATGACTGTCTGCTATCTAGATTGGTGTGGGGAACTATTACAGACTTGTAATACATCTCAGTAAATGCTATCCTTCTCCATCAAAGTTGATGGTAAATATGGTGGCCATGTTCAAAGGATATACACAAAATATGTGGTCTGACAAAAAAATTTTCCTACTTACGCATATAGGAAACAATCTGAACTCAAAATTTGGTATGAAAATATCAGAATTTCTGGGATCTGATTTTATTCTATAAATTTCATGATAATACAGGATAGATTTCCCAAATGAATTAGTAAATTTTTGTTATACTTTAATTTTCTTCAGATGTTCATGTGCAACAGTGCCCTTTTTCATTGTCAGTAAATGCTACTAATAGAAATAATTTAGGTAATCCTAATATATAAGAACCTTTTAATTGGAAGAGTAGTATGGTCTTTTGTGTTCAGGTCAGAAGTAATTTAATTGTTTCATTTTAGAGAATCTCAAAACTCTCCTTGTATATGTTTTGCATGGTGCTGAGAACTGGGTTCAGGGCCTTGCACATGCTAGGTAAGTGCTGTACTGCTGGCCCATACCCCTAGCCTCCCAAGCATATTTAAAAGCAAGAAAGACAATAGAATAATTTTCCATGAACCCACCATAACTTCAATAGTTGTGAGCTCTCCCATTTTGGATTATGTTGAAGTGGGTTACATCATTTCATTCATAGCTAATTCAATGTACTTTTCAGAGATAAGGAGTCTTTTAAAAATTATCATCGTACTTGAAATATCAATAATTTATTATCAAATATTCATTTAATTTTTAAACTCATAAACAGTTTAATTTCACCTCTATCTTTTTTTGTAAATTTTTAATTTGTTGTTCTTACTTATACATGACGGTAGAATGTATTTTGACATATATACATATATAGATTATAATTTCCCATTCTTGTGGTTGTACATGATGTGGAGTTACACGGGTCATGTATTTATATATGAACATATGAAAGGTATGTCCTATTCATCTTTCCTACTCCTATGCCCTCTTCCTTCCCCCTATTTCCCCCTGTCCAATCTGGTGAACCTCCACTTTTCCCTCCCCCCTGACTTTTGTGAGTCACCATCCATATATCAGAGAGAATATTTGGCCTTTGTATTTTTGGGATTAGCTTATTTTACTTAGCATGAATAGCCTCCAGTTCTGTTTATTTACCAGCAAATGCAATAATTTTATACTTCTTTATGGCTGGGTAATATTCCATTGTGTACATGTACCACATTTTCTTTATCCATTCATCAATTGAAGGGCACCTAAGTTGGTTCCATAGCTTAGCTATTGTGAATTGAGCTGCTATGAATATTGATGTAGCTGTGTCACTGTAGTATGCTGATTTTAAATCCTTTGAGTATATGCTGAGGAGTGGGATAACTGGGTCAAATGGTGGTTCCATTCCAAGTTTTCTGAGGAATCTCCGTACTGCTTTCCAGAATTGCACCAGTTAGCACAAGCGGTGTATTAGTGTACCTTTTGCCTCACATCCTTGCCAATATTTATTGTTACTTATATACTCGATAACTTCCATTCCAACTGGAATGAGATGAAATCTCCATGTAGTCTTAATTTGCATTTCTCTAAATTGTTTGTGATGTTGAACATTTTTTTCATATATTTTTCTTGAACATTCGTATTTCTTCTTCTGTGGAGTGTCTGTTCAGTTCCTTTGCCTGTTTATTGATTGGGTTATTGTTTTTTTTTTTTTTCACCTCTATCTTTTCAAGTATATTGATACCATCACTTTTTGACTGATACTTGTGCAAAGCCAAATGATGAATGTGCCATAGATGTAGGTAAACTGTGTTTCCTAGAATGGAAGAAGAATCAGTCAGTGTTAAAATATGTTTTGGCTTTGGCCAGTTTGTACTTAGATGCTTTTCTCTGTCATCATTAATATATGTATATATTGTTGGATACATGTTATCTCTTCAATATACACTTAACCTACATTTGTGTAGGTAATATAATTATGTTTGCTGTATGTATGGTTGTGTTTACATAAATTTTAGACTTAATTATAAATTTGCTGGGAATAAACACAATTTTTCTTTCATATAATCTATAACTGTTATATAGTTATTTTAATAGATATTTTATGATTACTCTAATTATATATAATGTAAATATAAGGCAATATATAGAAAGATCCACAAAATATCATTTGGACTTTCCATCAGAAGAAACTGGAGAAATTGTCTG